GCAATGGTGTTTAAATTAGCAAATGTATGCCTGGGTGTTAGGAAAGAGTAGCCTTAAGCAGTAACTGGTAATTGCTGGTAGCCTTGATGGATTCTTGGAGATAACTTGAATTTTTGCAAGTCTGGATCAGAAAAATTAACAAGATTTTGTCTGAGTCTGAAAGGATTTGCTACTGTGAATTTTGTCTACAGAATTTGTTTTGGGCCTTTTGAATACGGATTGTTCAATTGCTGGGGTGTAAGACAAGATTCTAAGTTTCTGCTTCCTACTGAGGAGGTCTGTTGTGGAAAGCACTCTTTAAGGTGCATCATGTAACTACCAGGTTTTCATACCTGTGTTGTTGTTGTCCCTCCCTAGTGTGGGGAGGTGTCATCTGTGCTTAGATGTTAATCTGCTCTTTCAGCTTCTGTCCCAGAGTGGCTAACAGAAGTAGGAGATGACTCCTTTTAATTGAAAGTTAATTACTGATATTTTGATTTTGCTTTTTCAGGTTCTATTCCAGGAAACCCAAGGAGTGCCTGCTTGGTGGCTAACAAGAGATGACTCCTTTTGCTTAAAAGTTAACTTTTATTCTTTCAGTTGCTGTACAGAATACCCAGGATTGACTTCTAATAAAAAGTCTTCAACACTGAAAACCCTAAGGTGATAAACAAGTCATGTAACTCTTGTGATTAATAAAAACTTTTCCTTCCTATTTCCAAAGTCTTAGGTTTGTAGGATGACAACTGGAAATTTTCTGCCAACAACACTCCACATTTTTTTGGACTTTGACCTTTTTTTTTCTGAGCCTATGGAGTAAAACTGTAGTTACATAACATATTCTATGTGGCATAACTAAAAAAAAACTGTCTTTGTCTATATTCTATGTCTGTATGTCCTTGCATCTGTCTTGGCCTCCAGTGATCGACAAATTTGGTATACATGGTGCCCATAGACGTTGAAAAAAAAAAAAGAGTCTCCAGTTATGAGAAAAACTAAAGGTTATGGTTTGATTGTCAACATTGTGCTACTGAACTAAGCCGGTGCCTTCATAGGATTAAATATTGTTTCTGTTAATTTTCTGATATTTATGGCAAAGCTCCCAGAAATCAAAAATCAAACAAATTTGGTAGCCTATCATTTGGCTGATACAAGGAAATTTTGTGGAACCTCAGTAGAGCTCCTGAGACACTCCACAAAGTTTTCTACCTTTCCTCCTGGGAAGGAATTAGATGAATTTGTTCTGTTTGGCTTTACCTAATGAAGTAAAACTGGAAGGGAAGCATTGTCACTTGGGAAAATGGTAAAACTTTGGTATGTACAGAAATTAACAGTGGTTTTCTAAAATGTGTATAAAAAAACCTCTCAGTATCTGGTATGTATGTAAATTGTCAATGGTGATTGTCACCTTGTAATAATGTATAATTCAATTGTTTAATATCTACAGAAATTGTATCTGGCAATATAGGGAAAAAGGTCTCAACAGATTCCTATGATGGAACTGTTTGAGAGTAAAAAACTTTCCTACAAAGGACTGAATAGACCTGGAAAA